TCCATCTTCAAGCGATTTTTTTTAAGTTATTCAAAAAAAAATTTAATATGAGAACTCTTATGTAGCGATGGAATCATATTTTTAAATAAATAATTATATTTAGGCTCTACTTTTTTTAAAACAATAATAACAAAAATACTAAAGAACCTTGGATTATTTATCTAATATATATATATATATATATATATATATATATATATATATATATATATATATATCCAAGAGGATAGAATCAAGGTAGAGCTAAATGTCCAGGACAGAGCAAGAATACAATATAAAAGCTCAGACACTAATATTCCATGGTTATAATTTATTACACTGGAATCGCAATCACGATCAATTCATCAGACTTACAAATTCAAAAAGAAATCAGTTTTGAATTTTTAAGTCTGATGAATTGAATCGTGATTACGATTCCAATGTAATAAATTATAACCATGGAATATTAGTGTTTGAGCCTATATATATATATATATATATAGATAGATAGATAGATAGATAGATAGATAGATAGATAGATAGATAGATATTATTAACCTTCACTCAATGTAAGCCTTAAAAGCCGCAGATGGAGAATTACCGAATGACTTGCCTGATATGAACGTAAGAGGAGATAGAAAAAATGGGAATTATGAAGAAAACAATTGGCTTAAAGAGATTAAGATCGTAGTGTTCAGGGAAGCATCCAAAAATTGACAGTTCCCAGAAAAAAAGTTGACTGATGGGAACTTCTTACTTACAAATGGAATACGGAGGTAATATGAAGGATTCGACTCCGTTGGACTAACTGTAAAGGTCTTAACTAGAAGAAAAAGTGGAGCTCATCTGAAAATTTCATGTTAATAGATTTGCAACACTGCGACTGCGGGAAAAGTGACTGTAGAGTGGAAAACAAGCCATCTCCTAAAGGACAGCATAATCGATGATGACTTCTACCAATGTTGTAAAATGAGGATTGAGCAGATCCAGCCATACTTCATTTGGGGTTTGATCTGACTCATGTAAAGATGAAGCGTGGCAGAAAGATGATTTAATATGGTGTACAAAGAATATAATAGCATATCCCAGATGTAAAGATCTGAACTGGTGGAATTAAGGAATGTAGCTTGTCTGGACATTTGCCATAGAAATAACAATACACTAGTAATAGGCTTGCAACATTTTGTCTTTGTAAAAGGGCATGTCGGGTTAGAAAATTATTCATTGCCCAGAAGAGCGTGCAAACACTTTTGAACTCTGTCAAGGCTGGAAAGAAAGGATTGTATAGCTCCAGTCCAGATATGGCAGATATACTGCATTTTTGGTCTGATTGATAAGGTATCATAAAAAAAAAATATTTTTCATCATGGATTCATTTTTTAAATATTTTTCTCTACTTTTATGGCACATTGCAGTCTATATGAGAAATCTGTTGATCTCTGGATAATTTTTGATAAAACTCAGATTGGAAAACCATTTTATTAATTGCTTCATATTACATTGCAGTAAAATTCATTTTATTAAAAACAATTCACTTTATTCACAAACTTTGGGTTTGGCTAGTAAGAGGCTAGAAACTTTTCATCTGTGGGGAAAGGGGCTGTATTGTGGGAAATAATTCATCACTCACAAGACCGCGTAAATGCTTTTAAACTTTGTTAAAGCTGGAAAGTGGGGATTAGTCAGCTCCTGCCCAGATATTGCAGCAATACTCCATTTTTTATCTGACTCTTGTAAAGATAGAGCATGGTGGGAGAGTCAGGTACTTTCTGGAGTGGTACAAGGAATCAAGTATTTTTCCTCATCATGGGAATGAAAGGAATCATTAATGTTCTCAGATTTTAATAGTATATTTTTAAAAGCCAATATATGCTATTAATTGAAATATATGAAACAGAACTATCAAGCGGGTTTAATTAATTATAATTGAACTAATGACATCTGAACATCTGCCATAAAATAAAGATAAAGTAGCGATATTGGATGAATTTTGTCTGTGTGAAAGGGTTTGTAAAGGAGAAAAGAATACATCACTGTTGAACTCTTTCGAGGCGGGAAAATGAATTTCCCAGAAAATATTTAGTCAGATCTGATTCTGCTAAAGATAGAGCATCGCAGGAGGAGTCAGATACATTCTGGAACGGTACAAGGAGGCGGCCTCTAAGTGTTGACTTCTATGTTCACTTTACACACGCTCTATCTCTGATATCAAGCACTTTATCCCATAAATATAGCACACCTTAAGACTATATTTCTTCATATATATATATATATATATATATATATATATATATATATATAAAATATCTCAGCTGATAAATAAATTAAAATAAAAATAAAATAAACAAACTTATGTTAGAAGCTATAAATCATATGAAGCATTAGCAATAAACAAAACAAAACAGGCATATACCAGTCTTTTATATACAGCCTACACAAAGAGGAGTAAGACGTCGTCTCATGATCGCTTAAGGAATTTTCTGAGATAAGTCACATAATACAATCGACATTGTGATAAAATACCTTTCTACAAAATAACTGACAAAGAAAATACTGGTTGACTGATCAATTCAGAAAACCACTCTACAATAATTACCCGAGATAACCAAGCAGCTCCAACTAAAACTTGTTATTTTTTGTCAATCTTAAAACAATTGCGATAAGAAATATATAATCGTGCCATTTATCTTCGAATAGTTCAATTAAATCGTATATCAACAACACAATAAAAAAACATTTACTGATAACACAAAAATACTATATCATATAAACTGTAAAAAAACGACTACAAATGCTAGAAGCATTAACCATAAAAATCAAACAACCCAACATCAATAAAATATTTTCAACTTTAATAACAAATATACTAAATATATTTCATAAAGAAAAAGGAAAACATGATAACACAAACTGAAAATGCGATATTTTAAAAATGACGAACCGACATAGCACAGCAAAGCAAAGTTCTTTGATAAAGGCTTATGACAGTTGGCCTTTAACAAAACTTGTAACATTGAAAATTTGTATCAAAATGCATCCAAGTATATTATCTATATATAATCATTTTTTAGAATATGCAGTGTGGGTGAAAAGGAACTGCCTATTTAAAAATGTTAGTAACTTTATTATTGGTCGATATTCATAAAATATGTTTTATTTTGTACAGTATAAAGATAGAAGTACAGAACAGAGTTAGAATTCTACATTTTGCGTATTTTCTGACAATTTGGAAGTTGAAGGACGACCGCTTCTGTGGGAATCTACCACAGATCCTGAACACATGAGCTTAACAATTTCTGATGGTTTTAGCATCTAATAAAGCATGAGGTATATTAACATTAGGTTACAATCTCTGCACTTGTATCACAGACTGCTAGATTTCATAACGGGATTTTAGATGACCACTCTCATACAGTGTCAGGCGTTGTGCCATTCTAGGCTAGACTTGTCACTCTGAAATAAAAACAGTAATTAGCAATGAAATTCTGCCCATGTAGGGATCACAATATATTTTGTTTCAGGTAAATGTGATATAATTGTTTCATGCAAATATGAAGATATTTTTTGTTTTATGTAAAGGTGGTGATGATATTTTTTGTTTCATGCAAATGTAGTGCTATTTTTGTTACATGCATATGTGTCGATAATATTTGCATTCATTTTCCTTGCTTTTTTAACAGAAGATATTTTGTTTCATGCAAATATAGTGATATTTTTGTTTTATGCAAATGTGTTGATAATATTTTCCTTGCTTTTTTTTAACAGAAAAGCCGTTAAAGCTGCGATTGTCTTACTTCCTTTATTGGGTATTACTTACGCCATGTTTATCTTACGCCCGGAAGAAAACACAACTTTTGGCTTAGTTCTCATTTACACCGATACCGTCTTACAATCATTCCAGGTAGGTTTATTTTCTCCATTTTATCTATTCTTAACATTTGTCAATTAAACCACATCTCTGTGACTTATATATATATATATATATATATATATATATATATATATATAGAGAGAGAGAGAGAGAGAGAGAGAGAGAAAGAAAGATAGAGAGAGAGCCGAGTTCGAATTCCAGTCGGATCCATTACATTCACTTACGTGCAATATACACTATGAATCCTGTTCTTCTCCTCCCAGCTATGGGTAAATAGCAAGACAGACTGCGTTCTATAGCCTTAGGTAGCAACCGGTCCAGGAGAAGGAAACACTCTGAATTCAAAATCAGCCTTGAGAGGGTTGGTCTCTGTCAGACTATCTTGCCCAAGAAACATCACTTCTACTGCTGCTGCAGTAAACAGGGTGCACCTACGATCCTACGGGTTAAAAAAAATAGGATAGGATACGGAACAAATTGAAAACGTTTATAAATCTAACAGGTTTCGTAAACTTCATCAGAGAATGATATATGGTGAAAAAGAAAGAAAGAAAAATTCTAATATTTTTAATTTTACTTTGTTTTTCATTGGTTAAGCAGACTTTACATTCATTTTGTCTTGTAAAGCAGCGTTCGTGTGTAAAATTTATGTGTGTAAGTGTATTATGATTCTAGCTTGTCTATCGGATTAGCATACTAATGTATTACAAAGTAACTGACAAAGAAAATACTGGTTGACTGATCAATTCAGAAAACCACTCTACCATAATTACCCTAGATAACCAAGCAGCTCCAACTAAAACTTGTTATTTTTGTCAATCTTAAAACACTTGCGATAAGAAATATATAATCAACCTTGAGATGGTTGGTCTCCGTCAGGCTATCTTGCCCAAGAAACACCACTTCTACTGCGGTTGCAGTAAACAGGGTGCACCTACGACCCTACGTGTCTCTTCTTTATCTTTCTTTTAGAAATTCTGCAGCATTCTCTTCTATATAGGCGGGCTGATTCCCTTACTAAATAAAAGTGTCCTGGGTATGACGATAAACTACATCCGACAGCAAGGCCTCTGATCTAGAGATTGGAGTTTTTGAGGAGCGTGGAACAACCTCTCAAGCCAACCTACATCCAGGGTGGTAGCACCTGTTAAAGTCCCTGCAATGGGCAAGTAATTCTCCCCCCCAAAAAAAAACAAAAACGAAACACTTATGAAAGTATAAAAATTAATTTTTGTAGTAAAAATACCAGTAATACATTTTTACATAAAACTTACCAACAATACATATTTATAATAAAATTACCAACTATACACACATACTAACAAACTATAGCGTTTTCACCCAGATCCATTTAAAATACTACCAAACAACCAAAATGAAAGTACTTAAGACATTGATCCATATAATATCCTAATCCATTAATCCATATAATATCCTACAATTTTCTTAAATCAAACTGTATTCCAAAATATAACTTCAACATAACTATAACATAAAACACACATATCACCGCCTCTAATAATTATATCCACACAAACATGTATATGCACAAAAGCTAAGTATCATCTACCATATACTCAACTGTGAAAGCAGAATAATATATATATCGTATCTTTGTTGCTTCAAAGCTTCCAAGAAAATTAAATTTCGGCATTAAACGACCCATAAGGTGTTGATATGCCGTTAAACAAACAAATCAATCAATCAACTAAATAAAAGAAACAACTGAAAGAACAACCATTAATACCTTTCAGTTATTAGTGAGTGATCGCCATCATCATCAGTCCCATATTACTGGGTGTGGTCATAGGGTCGCTACACAGCTGAGCAATTGACCAATTCCCTCTACATATCAAGGTTAAAAGGTTATTCATTCATGTGTAGCGTGTCTTTGACACTTAGACATAACGGCGCCCATCCTTCTGTAATTAAAACCACAGATGATTGAAGGCTTGCCTTGATCACGTACACATGGCTATTTATTCAATCAGGAGAATCCTAATCCCCTGACTGTTGAATTCAGTCTAGGAATTCCTCCACACAGCGAAGCAGTGGCATCCCCGCACTGACTACATATATAGCTATGGACTCAAATGTGAGGGCTGTTTGCGAAAGGATATGACCGAACACAGGCAACAGTCGACCGAACACGTCTTAATTATATAGAGAGATTTCATATAACGATTTGATAATGCAATAGGCACTGGCCGAGTGGTCAGAACGTTCGCCTTCCGACCCGGGCTCGAATCTCATCATGGTCTATTTGTCAGGAAGGTGACTTCTTGATGCTATCGAAGAGTGTGACACCTGAAAATCATATCACGGGTGGACCCAAATGAATTGAATCGATGGAATTATTTGTGAATCGTCGTGTTTGTCAGTGACCGAGATTTTGAGAGTACTGGCCGTGTTCAGACAGTTGATCCCGTCAAATAATGCGCACTCTCACCCACTTACAGTATAAACCACTCTGCATATACCAAGCACAAGCGTGCCTGAGCAGGCGTCTGCAACAGGAAGTGGATAACCGCCCAATAGACAAGGATACTCGGATTCGAGCGACCAGCCATTAATATAATATAATACTATATGAAAAAATATATATATGCTATATGAAAGTAATTAAAAAACGGCCTCTGATTTTACAAGCAGATTTAACGGACTTTCGTTTTTATCGGACTATATATATATATATATATATATATATATATATATATATATATATATATTATAATTTTATCACATAGACCGCTTCTCCTCAAAACTGTGGGTTAATCAATACGACTTGAATCAGTAAATTATTATTATCTTCATCTATTATTCGGAAAAACTAAAAATATTTTCTGGTTTTTAAATAACCTGCTAAAGGTTGATAAGCCGTTATCAAAAAATTATTAAATCAATCCGTTATGTTGCAGCCCTCCTTGTCTATTGTCTCGACTGTCGATTAGTTGTCCTACGGCCATTGTCTGCAATGAGCGTTACTCCAAGGAAGCGTACGAAAATTGTAACGCTACACCAACACACTGGGAAGCCTTACCCGTGAGCAAATCAAAGTACTATAGACTAGCCCGGAAACTCTCCTGATTTAAATCCAATCGAGAATCTGTGGCCAATTTGCAAGGAACGACTTCTAGGTATGGACATACGAAGTACTAACATGTGCACTGGGGCATATTTTATAGGAAAAATCCGAAAACAAGTAAATGATGACGGAATTATATGTTTTGCACAATGGTGCACCTTAGTGTGTATACACGACAGATTATTAGTATATCTGTGCCAAACGTCTTCACTCTGCGAACTTTAGCTTTATCGTATGCTATACCGGCATGATCCGGATTGTGAAGGATACATTACAATTGATTCACAATATTAGACACAGGGTGTATATTGTATTGCTTATACCGTGCTCAATATCAGCATAATCATTTATATAGACAGCGATTATTTTGTTTTGGTTTTGCTAAATCTTTTTCGTTTTCTTTTCCAGGGTTTCCTTGTCGCTGTCTTTTACTGCTTCTTGAACGGTGAAGTAAGTTTCAATCACTTTTTATACATTCCAATTTACCTACTTGCCTTTTTGCTATTTTCTTTCTATTAATTGTTGGCTTCTGATGTGTAATGGTTAACACACTTGTCCCACTGATCATTATTACTGATTACAAAGATTGATCTTGCTGGATGCTCTAAACACTTGGCCTTGTGTCAGACTAACATAATTCCAGTAAATATCTAAGGTCACCTCTTCTTGTCATACCAGTTAAGAAAAACCTGTTTGATTGTCGAGTATGTTGGTTCGATCCTCATAGAAGTCCCCATATTTGTGATCTTGTCACATAAGATAAGGTAGTGTAAAAGTTAACAAGCTAAAGAGAACGAGAGAGAATGTTTGTGTTATATATACGAGGTTGTATCAAAAAGTATCAGGACTGTTGTTATGGTAACGGGACTAAAGATCGCAAAGTGAAACCGCTTGGCACAGACTGACCTTGAATCCGTATACACACTAAGGCATAACGATGTCACTCACTTCCGTTGTGTTAAGCAGTGCCTTGAAGGAAAGTGTGTAGAGTGTAGCGTGTGGTCGTCTCACCACATCAGAGTTTCCATCAGTGACCATGAAGTGCGTAGCGATTTTTGGCCAAGCACAATATTTCCCATGTCTGACAACCGCCATATTCCTCAGATATTGCCTCGTGCAACTTTTTCCTCTTCAAAAATAAAATATCACTTGAAAAGAACTAAACTCCAAACGGCGAAGAAATCCAAGAAAATGCGACGAGGCAGCTGCTCACTATCCCAAAAATAAAATTTCAGGATTGCTTCCATCAATGGAAACGACGTTGAATAAAGTGTGTGGCTTCAGAAGGGAGACTACTTCGAACGAGATTAAATGCGGAATTGATATGTGTTGTAGTTTTCTTTTTATAATGACATTCACGGTATCTTTTGATCAGACCTCGTACATATTGCACACACCCTTTTTCATCGATGCGGGGGAGCTGTAACGGATACCTCCTTAGAAAATGGGATCAGCAATCCGAGTTTAATTTCAGACCTTGTCTTTTGTGTTGATTTCCTACTCCTTTACGGCTATATCACTTTGAAACACTAGTTCATATACGATCACCGAAGTTAAGCAACATCGAGCCTGATCAGTACCTAGATAGCTGACCGCTTGGGAATACCAAGTGGTGTAATCTTGGATGTGAGGGTGGTGTAATAGATGACAACTCGGAATTGGAAGTCGGAGAGTCAAGTTCAAATTCCATTTGGGTTCGTTATATTCACTTACGCACAAATACTCTTGTTAAATGTATGAATCCATCTCTTCTCTCCCAAGCTATGGGCTAATTAGTACGACTTATTATTATTATCTCAAAATAGGCTTACAATCTAAAAGTATTTTCTGGCTTTAAATAACTAGCAAAATGCTGACAAACCGTAAAAAATCTAATCAATCAATCAATGAAATCCCTCTCTTTTATATAGATTAAGTAACAGGGAGTGCAGACTGGGGTCTCTTAGATTTACTTGCTGAATAGTGAGTGCGGTTGCTTTTAGGTGCTCCATATTTGTTGCCTTGGACCAAACTAAGTTAACCTAAGTTTGAAAGTATAATAAATTATTTGGCTTTTTATTAGTGGTGACATTTTCATATGAATTTTAATTTTTTTGAAGTTGTAAAGTTTTACCTGAAAATTTATTTTCAATTTTAAATTCATACAGATTGTACTTCTCTAATCTGGAAACTCTTATAGTCCGGGAACAATAATAAATGTTTTTTACTTGTCACCATTAATTTGTCAATGTGCCATTAAACTTTTTTATTTAATTTCTCACTGCAGTTTGAATTGTAAACTTAACGTTTTATAAATCGACTCGACACTAATTAAATAGAGTGTTTTCCACTGTTGTTCTGACTACATGAATGTAAACGTACGACTAGATCGGCAACTAGGTCCCACCGTTTTACTATTGAAATAGCTAGATGCAACCGTCTCTAACAGTTTCTATTCTCGACCTTCCAACCTGTTCAACTTCATTATGATTTCTTGTTTCCCTGTTAACTTCATGTATATATATATATATATATATATATATATATATATATATATATATATATATATATATATATATATATATGTTGTGGTACGATACACCTAATTTACATAAGTGGAGTACCGACCATATAAATATGGGTTGGTACCGGAAGACGGGGGAAAATAGTAGTTAGAAGAAGACATCGAATCGAGAGACTCTGCCCGACTGCGATTTAGTCAACCCATTATGCAGGAACAGTCTTCCCAAGAATATACCAAAACTAACTGTAAATATTGTGTACCCTTTCCTTGTTTCAATACATTTTGTTAACGTACATTTTGTGTTGTATTATTATTATTCCATGCTTATCCAAGTTTCAACAATATATATTCTTCCAGTTGCTAAGGACATTTCGTTTTGTTATTATTAGTTACTTCATTTAAGAAATTAATTTCGATTTTGCCTTGAGAAAGTCCACATCGGACGAAACGCTTCGGCAACTATTACAGTTTTCCTATTGTCTCTCATATCTAGAAATATTGTCTTTTTCTACAGGTTAACTCTGAGAAACTTTTCATATATATCTGTGTATATTTCTGAGACTAGGTATTATGTACACTATTTACATTATTTGGACTATTGTCCTCATCTTGTCGCCATAATTTTGTAATAAATATGGCGACAAAGATGAGGACAATAGTCCGAATAATGTAAATAGTATATATATATATATATATATATATATATATATATATATATATATATATATATATATATATATATGACGGTTTCGATCCAAGCTAGAGGAAACCGGACGTCTAGCCACACTGAAGAGCTGTGATAGAGTGAAATAGCCTGTCTGTGAATGACAATGTATATATATATATATATATATATATATATATATATATATAATTATTTATTCGAAAATTATAACACAAATATGTTATAAAATCACTACAAAAATAGCCATTTTGTTTCAACACTCCTGGTGTCTTATCAAATGATGATGTTGAATGCAGAATAAAGCGTTTTAAAAGATTCAAATCAATCAAGCACCTCGCTAGGGGAAACACTGTTACATAAGCTGGAATGACCAATCAAAATACAAGTATATGAGAATTCGAAAAAATTTGACAACGAACTAAGGTTATAATAATTATTTAATTCTTTAATGTTGTGGTTAGACTAAAATAGAATTTATTCTAACAAATAAATATTAAATTTTACGATAAAATTTGAAATCAAAAATTAAAAATTACCCATTTTAAAATTTAAATTTAATCTATATTAAGTTTAAAATTATAAAATTACTGAGGAAAAAAAGAAAAAATACATATGTTATTCTATTAATTTTGTTTTTATTGAAATTAAGTTGGAATAAACGTTAAGATCAAATTTTGTTCTGAACTTCATGACAACATAGATACATTTGATGCATAAGCAGAGGCAGGGGAGGATGACATCTTGCAAAAGAGAATGCATACACAATCAGATTATAATACATAAACACGCAGACGTATTTAGATATATACACACACAAAAAAGCGACGAGATAGGAAATATCTCCACGACACTTAAAAAAAACAAAAAACACACACAATATACATACACAATGAAAGGTACACTCAAGTGACCATAGACACAGACACCGATAAAGACACGTACATACACACACATACATTGACAAAGACACGTCGTAACACCTAGCAAGAAATATACAAGTTTGAAAGTGTTATTAAACGAATTCTAACCACTTCAACTTTGGCAGAACAAAAAAACAAACATTAGGGAAAGAAAGTTCATTAAAACAGATAGACATGGACAGAAAAATAGATATATTCACATAAAAATAATACCATCTAATATATAAAAACGAAAACTCCAAACACACAAATATATATAAAAATATGTTTCATATATACCTATTATAAGCAGTAGTGCATATACACGAGTACTAAAATATAACAGAAGGTGAAAGAAAATAAAAACTACATACAGATATATGTGTATGCACATTCTTCAGTACAGACAGAAACACAGAAAAGCCTACCTACCGACAAACATATACACAGATATATATATACGCGCATACACACATATACACACACACACACATATATATATATATATATATATATATATATATATATATATATATATATATACCCATACGTATATGCATATACATACAGAAACAAGCATAAATATATCAACCCACACAGCAACATAAAAAAGTAAACAAACCAAATATATATATATATATATACATATATAAATATATATATATATATATAGAGAGAGAGAGAGAGGGGGAGAGAGAAACACACAAATATACATATATACACACATACACATATACAAACAACCGTATATAAAAAAACATACAAACGCAAGCTTAAACATACACACACACATATATATATATATATATATATATATATATATATATATATATATATATATATATATATATATATATATATATATATATATATATATATATATATAAATACATATATATATATATATATATATATATATATATGTATGTATATATATACACACATAAATAGGCATATACATACATAAACCTACACATATTTTAACAATATTATCTTAGTGACGATAAATGACGGTAAAGTCCATAATAATTTTAAAATGTAACGAGACGCAGTTGTTGATTAAGTTTATAAGCAATTAAAAAATCCTTATCAAACAAAAGTAGATTTTAGTTAGTATTGATAATACATTCCAAGACATTAAGATATACATACATATACATATACGAAGACGTACGCGCATACATCCACATATACATATATATATAAGCATGTATACACATCCGAATATACATATATATAAGTACGAACACAGACACGCATATGCATATATATATATATACACATACATATACACCCGCAACTGTAGACACATACCAAAGTTAACATACCTACCCATACGCACAAACAAGCACACATAATATAGGTGTCAACACACACACATACACACACAAGCGCATATACCTTTATCTATATACATATACACACATATAATTATAAGTACATATAATTATAAGTACATATATTCGTATATACACATAAACACATACACATTCAACCATATATATATATATATATATATATATATACCCCCACATACATACAAATAAATATATACATACATACAGAAGTACACACAATTGAAATATATATACACACACACAGACATACATATATATATATATATATATATATATATATATATATATATTCCCTCCTCTCTTTTTCTCCCTTCTTTTTTTCTTTTTACCTTCTTTGTTTTATAAAAAAAAACTACGTATATATATATATATATATATATATATATATATATATATATATATATATATATATATATATCAATAAAAACACACACATACACACACACATGCAGACACGAACAACACAGTACATGTACCCCAACATAAACCCACATCGACAGGGGACCATCAGGTTATAAAAGCAATAACCTACTAGTTTAGTAGGTTATTGCTTTTATAACCTGATGGTCCCCTGTCGATGACAGTGACATATCATTATCATTGAAAGTATTACAACCCCTATAGTAAGTTAAATTTATAGTGGTGTTTGCAGTTAACGATTAGTTCATATCTTTGATTTAAGAGATGGGTGTTATTTTTAAATCTAATTATTCCCAATTTTTCGTTAAGACATAGATAACAAGGGGAATATAGGGAGTTACATGTTCGGCCTTTCTTGATTAATTTCCATTTAACATTAGGTGTTTTAATCTTTTCTTTTAGACTCCAAAAATATTTGGATAATGAAGTCTTGTACTAAGAATTACTGCTATTAAAAGATTGCATATGCCTCCGCCATCGTTCCTTGTAAAACTTTTTGTTATTTGGGTTTTCTAGTTTAGAGATTGTACTAAGATAAACTACAGTGCTAGTCATACAATTATTCTGTATTGGACAATTATTTGGATTCCTATAAATACATAAGTTGTTATTCGTGTCGTTATACTTAGTAGCACTGCTTGCTTAGTAGTCAAGTTTTTTTAATCCCTAAACTTGTTAAAGACTTTGTTGTTATGTTTCTTAATTATTTTCTCTAGGTTATTATATTTGCTCTACTCTGTATTGAGCACTCTTTTAAGAATAGTATTTGTTGGTTATTGGAATTTATTCCGTATACACCAATCCTATACTTGGGTATATATATATATATATATATATATATATATATGCATTACACAGAGAACAGTCTCTTAGGTCTCTTAGATGGAATGTAGAGGTCCCAATTCCTCATACTCACTAGCCGAACTTAACTGGCGATGTCCGGTGTTGAATAAAATAAAATGTTACTTATAAGAGATTCACTCTAGTGTTCTCGAACTTATTAATGACTTTTTTGACAAGCTCATTAAATGTCACTAGGGCCCAGAAGTCAAAAAATATTTCGCTATTTAGTACGGCACACAGCGGCAAAATTCCGTCATTCGTGAAGTTCGAACTTATTACACTTGCGAATGATTTACTTGAAAAACTCGTTAAGCATTACAGAGATCTGAAAATCCTAACCAAACGAGAACACGCTATTTACTCAGTAAAAATTAGTGCATCACAAAGCGATAACATTCCGTTATTTCTGAAGTTCGAACTTATTGCATTTGCTAAAGATTTCTTTGAAAACTCACTAACCCTCATTCGTTCCGGAAATCCTAGCCAAACGAGACCCCGCACACGCCGATAAAGTTCAATCATCCGTAATGATATAGCAGATAGACTTGTTAACATTGCTTGAAATCAGATATGTCTGCGCATACGCCAATTCTCTTTCGTTGTTCTAAACTTTCGAAATAAAATAGGTTGTAGATATTTTTAGCTGCTTAGTGTTTGTTTGTCTTTTTTTCTTTTTCTTTTGATTTTCTTTATCATTTGACTCTAAATTGTTCGCGAAACTTGCTTACTATTTTTTGTTTCACTTTTAAAATATTGTTTTTCCTTTTGCACATAATTTTGTTTTCCTTTAGGCCGAAATTATTTACTCAATCAGACATTATCTTCTTCAACAGAAAATGTTTACAACGATTGACTTTTCAAATCTATAATTTGGTTTTTGTTTTTTTGTTTTTTTTTCTCATATTGAAAGAAAGAAAAAAGAGACGATCTTAGGTCGATATGAATAGATTACGATTTGCTTGCATATACATTAGAGCAAGTAAATTTTTTTAAAAAAGTATATATCGGCTTGGGTAAATGAATGACAAAATAGAAAAAATTCTTTGTAACGTGTTTCATCTTTTATAAGGACTTCATCAGACTAACGTTCCTATTCATAGAATTATATATACGTAAGGTGAGGGGAGAAATATAAATGAGAATGTCTGTTATAATTATGTATCGAGAGGAAACGACGAATATTTAGGAATACTAAGTTTTAGATTTAAATTTTAAAATTTCTGGCGTCGGATGGGTCTAGACGAATAGAATAGCCGATTCATTCAGTTTCCCAACGCTCTTATTTTTAACGCTACTGGTTTTAACTTTAAATTCGATATGGGCTTAGGTTATTATAATTTTTTTTTTTTATATTAAACCTGTACTCCAATAAAGTGTAATACACAGGGTGTATCAAAAATTCTTTTACAAACGGTGGGGCGGGTCTCTCGCACCAAAAAAGGACACAGTCCATATAAACATATATCCATAAATCCTTCGTTCTTGATTTATTAAGTTTAAAGAAAGTTTGCGGTAGTTTGCTTTGTGTTACTACGTAGACTAGGTTACATTTGTCATTCGTGTACATTTGTGGCTATTCTCTCTTCAACGTTTAACGCGTGTAGTTGTGAGTTAACTGAGAAGTGTTCCCGCATAGAGAGTATTCCAAGTGCAGCTCATCTATCCGTATCATTTGCAATATGTGCCGGGTCTTTCGCCCTCTGATCATCCACCACGGAAGAACTTTTGCCTATGGTTTATTGCGAATCCGTTGTTATTTTCTTCAGACTTCTTTATGGATGAGAAAACATTTAGAAGAGATGGGATAACAAATTTACACAACCAACATTTGTGGGCGGATCGGAATCCCCATGGTACAATATAGGCTAGACACCAGCATCAGTACGATTAATGTGTTGGCTGGAATTGTAGCTGACTGACTGGTAGGTCCATATGTTCTCCCAGCACGTTTTACAGACATTGTCCACGGATACTTTATTTTGAACACACTTCTATACCTGCCAGAGGATGTACTCCTGCTAATACGACGCTTGTGATTCATGCATGATGGAACTCCAGCATATTTAAGTCATATCTCACCTTGTTTTGGCGTGAAAAATCCGCCTCGAAAGTTTATAAAAAAATTTGATACAACATAGATAGATAGATAGATAGATAGATAGATAGATAGATAGATAGATAAAAGGCTCAAACACTAATAATTCCATGGTTATAATTTATTACATTGGAATCGTAATCACGATCCAATTCATCAGACCTACAAATTCAAAAAGAAATCGGAAAATATAACTCCGGGTATAAAAAGCAAAATTTTAGTGAGAGTGTATGTGTGGGAGTGGGAAACAAGTGTGAGAGGGAAACGTATGAATGCTCTAGAGAGAGGGTTTAACAGAAGAAAGAAGAACAGGAAGGCCTAAAGGTGAAGGTGGGGATTAAAATTTAACAGAGAAAAGTTTCAAAGAGAGGAATTAAAAAACGATTTAAAAGAGTGAGATACAGATAAATATGAATTATTTTTCGATGCATAATTCACTACCGATTCGCTGACCTAAAATAAAAAATAAAAAACAGACACCGGAAACGTGGGGATTCATTTGTGGTGACACTAAGCACAATAAAAAAACGATATGTTCTAAAAACTTAAAATCCAGAAGATGAGAGAGAGAAAAAAATATATATATATATATATATATATATATATATATATATATATATATATAATGTGTGGAAGTGAAGCGAGAAAGAGAGACAAAGAAATGTCTCCGATGAGGTAATTATTCCAAGAAATGGTTCTATAATTTTTCGTTATGGCTTTTGCTTGTCCTACCAATTCTTGATATGATCGGTCGCATTAAAATGCCTGCTTTGTACATTTGGGATAGACCATAACGTCTGGATAATTTCGATTGGTATTCGATCAATTTTGACGATGTCTGTCTATCTCATTATTATCATCATTATAATCATCATCATCATTATCATCATTATAATTCTATTTTTTCCTTGACACGTACATTACGTCATTAAGCTATTTGGTTAAAGCGCAAAAAAAAGAAAGAAATGGAAGGTAGAGGAGACGATAAAAGTCACTGTGTTGAACGTCTGCTTCAGGGAAATTGAAAAACTTGACAATTTCAAATTGTTTCATTTGAACCATTTACTTCTAATGGTCTAATGGCCTGCATTTATATATTTTATTGTTACTAGAATTCATTTTTTACAACATTCTGACGTGTGTTGAAAGCCTCACAGTATTTACTACTGTTGAAGTTATCAATAACATTTTTGTCAAGATTTACAACCTTTATATTTCGTTCAATTTCGCAAATCAGGCCTTGAAATTTGAATAAGCTGATTTGTTGGAGAACTATAATAATAATTTCTGTAATTTAAGTTAATTTTATACGACTTCATGGTAAACAATATTTTTTAAGAAAATGATTGTTTTTCTTTTTCTATTTTAACAGCGAAAAATAAATTGTTAGGATTTCTTACTCATGAGCATGCAACATACATCTGGCAATGCATTTTGGAGCCAAATTCCAACTTTGTGGTTTGTTTATAGTTCTTGCAAACACAGGGAGAACTAGAAACTGGATTCTTATATATATAAAAAAAAGCTTAAAGAAAACATATGCAAAAAGCAATATTGCATTTTTATTAAATAAGTATTTGTTATTTTAATCATTAAATTGTTTTTAAAATTGTGGGCGTATTTTGTATATTAAATAATAAAACTTTTTAATTTGTCTAAAAAATGAATGAAAATATATTGTACTAAACTACGCACTCTAGTAAAATCAACTGTACTTTGTACACCCTTACCTATTTGTACAAAATTTGATTTCTATCGGTCAATGTGTGGCTGTTTTAGAGGGCGTGACGGACGGACGGATAAACGGAAATCACAGAATTTTATATATAGATTTCAATGTTTTGTTAAAGATTTTAAGCTCAAGTATTTTACGATGCAATAGAGGTATATTATATAATACGGAAACTAGCAGTGGGGTTATTCAATCATTAACTTGAGAATTAAGTTTCAAAGCAAATTAAAGTAGAAAAACTGATATTTTCACGAGTATTTCTAATTATTATTATTTGGAATTGATATTGAAAGTACTCCCACACACTAATTTTTAACCAACTTCTTGAAAGAAGTAATCGTTCATATGTTAAAAATTTCGGCGCCATTGTCATTATGTGCGTGTGTTTTCTGTTTTTCTTTCTACTATCTACTAAGACACAAGGGGTTATTGAGACTGAAAGGAACTTTACGGGCAGCAAATTAAGCAATCGATGCGATATTCGTTCCACTTGATAACAGTTCGAAACGCTATACCGAAAGGGCGCAACGACTTACTCTCCTGGGGCTTAGCATCAGCCATGCTGATTTTTGTGATGACAACTAATACACGTTGTCACTTTCGTAATTCTCATTGTAGTAGAGCCTTTGTAATCGAAGATCCAACTATAGTACACCATTGAATAATGCTGGTGTCAGACGCCTTCGAAAAGCATTCGTACTAATAGTAATGGCTCCATAATACTCGCTCGTATAGTAATCCGTATAGTGATCTGAATAGGGAAATAGTATAGTGAATAAAGTAGAAAATAGCGGTCCATATAGTAAAAGAGGAGAAAATAGAAGTGCAGATCCGAATAGTAATAGAGGATAGACTAGAAATGACGATCATAATAGTAATAGAGGATAGACTAGAAATAGCGACCGTCAGTTGTCAGCTATTTCCTAGATATATGCGTTTCCTCTATGGTCACGAGGTCTACTTAATTCAATAATGGGATCGCCTGTGTTTACTCTCTGGCGATCTATGTTCAAACCCAAGTGTCGGCAGCGACACTTTATTCTTATATAACACTGATCGAAGACAAAAGAGGATTAAAAGAGAGTAGTTTAGTTTTGAAGAAGACTTGTCCAGAACGCCAGAAGGAATCAACTTTCTATGTTCTAGACTTAGTAACTGACTAAGTCTGCCTGCGCGTATGTGTGACTGCGTCTGTACGTTTGTGCGCATGAGTGCGTTCTTGAAAACAGATAAAATTACACGCACACACACACACACACACACACACACATATTATAATATTTTATTATCAGAAATTATAACAAAATATTTTAAATCGCTACACAAAAGCTTTCATGTTTCAATATATATATATATATATATATATATATATATATATATATAATGGACTCTCCCATCGTTTTCGACGTATGAGTGTCTTTCAGTTCAGTTTTTATGTTTATGTTTCGTATGAGACAACAATCCTGCACGGGATTTGCAAACAAATCCACACGAAGGGCATACTGAAGGGTTGACCGTCATATGAGCTGACGTATTAGATTTAATGTTAATTCTTAATTCTCTCAGATGGTTGAGACGATTCTTTTCAAAGTTAGTTATACCTCGTTAGCAGGTATTTCTCTAGTTTGCTTGGTTTTCAATAGCAAGTTCGAAATCCTCTATAGGGATGTTTGCAGCAATTAAATTGTATTTAAGTTTGTCCTTAAAGCGTAACTAAGGATGGCCTACGTTACGCTTACCATGAAAAAGTTGGCTATACATGAGGATTTTCGGCTTCCTATCATCACTCATTCTGATGACCTGACCAGCCCATATATATATATATATATATATATATATATATATATATATATATATATATATATATATATATATTAGTTAAGTTTTCGTGGTACAGAATTTAATAATAGATAGGAAAAGACAATATTTATAAGGCATTTTTTAAAAGCAAAAGCTAAAATAAAAACAACCAGTTTTATGGTTTTCTAAAAAGTCTAATTCAGGATATTCCATTACAAAATAAAAACTATGATTTGAAATCAGAATGAAGGAAATGATGGCACATACCGTGAACCATAAAAAATTCAGGAAGTGGAATTAATAAACTATTGGTTCGTATCTGTGTAGGAATGACTATAAAATACTTTACCCTTCCCAAATTATAAGCAGAAAGACACAAATGAATGCTGGAATTTTATCCTAGCAATTAATACATTATGGTTCTCGGTTTCATCTGACTCAGTCCCAGTCTTGAATTCAAAATGCTACATGCGCTTACCAGATTTTGCTCTTGTATGTCAACCCCAATTCTTATGTTTGTGAACCTTTTGCTATATTACTGTTGCTTTGCCTTATTACTGCTAATTCGACTTGCATATATAGTTTCCTTACTTCATATTATATTTTTGCCCTGTTTTTTTTCTTTTCTTTTTCTTGTTAATTATGTTTGTTGGGCAGTTCTGCCATTTGTTTTACATTTAACCATGTCCACTAACTCTTCATAAACACCTCAAATACCTTGGTGTATAGATCGGTTATAACAAATTTAGCATAGGAGATAAGGACATTGAACATATAATAGGCTGCGCTAGAGTTTGGCCCAACACTGCAAGGTACTACAAAACCAAAATATTAACTTGTCATGTTCGTCAAATCAAGATTCTCATCTGGATGTCGGATACGACGTACAACTTGTTCAGAAATATCTAAACTGTCAGCTGTATACAACCACTTTCTCGGATCAATGGTCAAGTCACTTCATCAGATCAAGACTTTCATATGGATGTCATACATGGCACCAAACCCAAATATCTAAACTGTCAGCTGTATACAACTACTTTCTCGGATCAATGGTCAAATCACTTCATCAGATCATGACTTTCATATGGATGTCATGCATGGCACCAAACCCAAATATCTAAACTGTCAGCTGTATACAACCACTTTCTGCGGATCAATGATTTTAAATAACCTAGAGCAATTTTTTCTTGAATGTCTTAAAGAGAACGATTCTTCTTCGAATCTCGTGGTCTAGCGCTACAGAATCACCAACAAAGAACTTTACCAAATAGTAAAGACCACAACATTTTAAGATTTCCAACGGCGGGGGCATCACGTAAAACTTATAGAACTTGGAAAGAAAATAATGACATAAACAAAATGTTGTCTTCCACACGACTTTGCACAAAAGATTAGGAAGGAAACTCCAGTCAATACTAGAAATAGTAATGACTGGTTACTTGAGAAATTTATTTTCTTGAAAAATTGTTTAATAGTAAGAGTAGTAAAGAGTAAGAATTCATGAATTTCAACTGACAGTAGCACTAACTGTTCGGTCAATGAATACCGAATGTTTCCGTATAAGGTAACAGTTAATCTTACCGTTATTATATTTGTGTTATATATACATATATTAATTCCATCCAGGTATGGCTTACCATATATTGAGGGAAACAGAAATCACCACCCTCTGTGGGTTAAGTTTGAAATGATAGAAAGGGAACATCACTGTAAAATACGAAAACTTAAGGAATCAGCGCATATGCTAAGGCACAAATATCTCCTAACCCGGCCAAGTATAGACATGGATACAATATGGAATACTAGAGAATAACAACAATAACAAAAATTGCAATATGAACTCTGGTTGAAAATGGTTACTGAAACATGAGGCCAGAAATTCATTCACTGATGTCCCAAAAACAGATCCCCCAGTCTTGTGTGAAGTAATCCCGTGTCTGGAAAGAAAGAGTTGTGGCCACAGCAGAGGTGAACAAAAAACTTGGAAAATTGAGTTACTAAAGGGAAATAACCGAAACTAAGAGAGAGAAAATATGGCACGTGGAACTAGAGCAATCTAACCCAGTGAGCTCAGTCCGAAATTCCAACGTACGCTCCTGAAGAATGCCGGAGCGTACAATGGCCGAAACGTCGTGAATATTGCAATAAAGATGAAGACAACTGTCCGAACAATGCAAATAGTGTAAACAGTTACAACACCTCATCTCAGAAATATAGACAGATCCTGAAGAAGGCGGGAGCGTACAATAGCCGAAACGTCGTGAATATGACAGTAAGGTTGAGGACAACAGTCCGAATAATGTAAATAGTGTAAATAATTCCATTTCGTTAATATGGGAGTAATCTCGGAAAATGGAACCGATAATGTGAATTCAAATACCGACCGAGTGTGTTGTGTTGACTTCAAACTATTAACCTTGGAAAATACCTATATCCATCGCTTCCTCCCGCCCACGCTAATCCGAATTCGAAACTTGGGAGCGTACAACGGGGAACCGCTCTACTATCTTTCCGAAGTTTACGGATAGTAAAGGAAAGAAAGAGACATAATTGCCTATATCTTAAAGGGACATGACATTAAAATACGTGCGTACGATAAAATAAAGAAGAAATAGGAAACGTATATCAATCTAACATATTTCAATTTTATTAAGGCTTCGTCAGTGAGTGAAAGAAAACAGACAAAAAGACAGAAACTCAATTTCAATTTTGTTTTAGTTAGTCACGTATCATGTGCGTCCTGGGTATGACGATAAACTGCATCCGCGTCCTGGGTATGACGAGAAACTACGTCCAACAGCAAGGCCTCTGATAATTAGTTTTTGAAAAAATAATGATGCCAGCTGTACGTTTAAAAAAAAAATAATATTACTAGCTATACGTTTTTGAAAATAATAATAATAATAATAATAATAATACCAGCTATACGTTTTTCAAAAAATAATTTTACCATTTATACATTTTTTAGAAAAAAATATTAACAGAAATGGATTTTTGACAAAACAAAAGTATTACCAGGAAAAAAAAGTTGTCGGCATTAAATGACCCATTGAGGTTGATATGCCATAAAACAAAACAAACCAAACCACGTATCATGTTCATGCAAACCGTAGACAATTATATGTGTATATAAGTTTATAACGATACTTGTATGTCTGCGCGGGGATCGGATGGTAATGTGTATACGTGATTGTGTATGTGTGTCTGTCAAGTGGGAGTTCTAATGCCCG